TTTTTTTTTTTTTTTTTTTTTTTTTTTTTTTTTTTTTTTTTTTTTTTTTTTTTTTTTTTTTTTTTTTTTTTTTCTTTTTTTTTTTTTTTTCTGTTTTTTATTTTTGTTTGTTTGTTTTTTTTTTTTTTGTCTTCCCTTTTATTTTTTTTGTTTTTTTCAGTCATGTATTTATTTTTGTTTTCTCTTTTATCTATCTGTTTTTTCTTTTGTTTCTTTGTTTTTTCTTTTCTATTCTGTTTCTTTTTCATTTTTTTGTTTTATTTTGTTCCTTTTTTTTTCTTTTTTTTTCGTTTTTTCTTATCGGAACTAACAATTTTTTTTTTTTAGCTTTAATTTCAGAATCATCGCATTGTTATTGGAGTCACTTTGTCATTGGTGTTATCCTTCTTGGTGGTAATGCTTTGTCAATGGTATTGTTCTTCTTGGTGATGAAAGTTTTTGTCATTGGTGTTGCCATTTTTATAGTGAGCTTTCTTTGTTAGTGTGTTGTTCTTCTTGGTAGTGAAGTTTTTGTCATTAGCGTCACTGTCTTTATGGTGAGCTTTCTTTGTTGGTGTCGTTGTTTTTGTAGTGAAGTGAAGTTTTCGTTGTAGTGAAATCGGACTTTTTGATATAAAGTGGATGATTGAGTATTTTTTTATTTATTATGTAACAATGTTTATTACGCAACAACGTTCATTGCGTAATGATATTTATTGTATAATAATTTGTTATATAAAAAAATTTTTTTTTTTATTATATATTAAATAAATAAAAATCTTGATTTTTTTTTTAATAAAATCACATGATGCACTGGGGTGTTCTGTGGTCTATATAAATTAAAACTATATTTGGATCATTAGTAAAATTATTATCGATAGATTTTTTGTGAATTTAATGATTAAGACAGTGATCAGAGCAGTTTATCTTTTTTTTTTTTTTTTTATACCTTCGCAATGTCATGGAAGGGTGGATTTTTTATTAGGTATTTTAGTAGTACATTCTTGGTTAGTGTAAGTACATATAGCCACACGTGCAACTTTGGTCACCTAATTTAAGTAGTCTGCCCGAAGGTTCTACACTATATGCCATACCTATAACCTACTAGGAGATTATCTGTTTAAACCCTCTGACGTCTTCTGTTCTGCATCACCACCTCAATCATACCAATCCATAACCTCATGCTGCTTCTTATTGAAGACCACCCAGATCGACATCTGCTATACTACTTGCACTCTAATTCTATAGGTAACTCAGTAGGACCTACATACCGGGTTACGCTAGAGAGGGTATAGTACATACCCCCTAATCTTTCTATATCCCATGCACTTCCAGATTAGGCTACGAATACCTTTCGCAGTAGCTGAAACCACCACTAGCAGTCAGGGCGAACCATTAAACCACATAATTTCAGTATCTGGTGCTCTTGCAAGATTTGTTCTGATCCCGATACCCACATCAAGCCGGTTCTTATACCGATTCCTCCCCAACTACCAAATAGTTAGCCCAAATGGGTCATTGTATTTAGGCTTTAAGTGCCTTCTGATTTTACTTCCCTTGGTTTCTAATTCCGTAACATAGAACCTTTTCTTCCGGTGCGACTCCGGCGGCCAGGTTGGTGAATCCTTCTTGCTCAGGGTTTTTGTCTGGTTCTTCGGTTTCCGGTTTTCAACTTTCCGCAGTATCGTCAAAGATATTCACTACCTCCTTACTCGGGTCTTGCCAAACGGGTTTCAATTATTCTGGTTCCTTGGATTTGGATCACCTAAGAGCTTCTATTTCGATATAGTAGTACCAAGATTACAGGTAATTTACCTAATAGATCATTGAATAATTGTTACTAGAGCATAGGCCTATTTTTCTAAAAACGTCACCGGTGGGATTTGAACTTTAGACCTGCTGCTTGGAGGGTGGCAACTTAACTACTATTCTAAGTCGCCACACCCTGCAGTTTATTATTTTAATATAAGTTTAAATAGTAAAAAATGATACGAATATTTTTAGATGTAATGACAGAATTATATAATTTACTTTAATTTTTTTAGCATAAAACTATACTTAAATGTATTTATAACAAAGTTACGTTATAAGTTTCTTATACTAATATTTAAATTTTGAACCAACACTTCATTAAAAATCTACTTTATAATGCGTACTATTGAAAAAAAAGAAGTATCTTGCTAGCTGGTAAAGTTATTGCTTTAAACATGATTTTTTTTAATGTAACTTTGTTCTTCTAAAGTAATTATTAATTTTACTAGATTTGGTTACCTTAAAACAAGACAAATTTGGATCGCTATATCTAAATTTAGAAAAAATTAATAAATTTACCAAAATAGAAATTTACAAATCGTATAAGCGATGTTTTCAAGCTAGATAAAGGGCACAAAAAAGTGTAGAAAAACGTCAAGCTATCTCTCGCAATAAGAATATTACAGAAATCAAAGCTCTATTATCCGATTTAGACCAAGAACAACTCAATAACATTTATAAAATATTAATGAAAGAACAAGAAATTTCATATGATGATGATGAACTTGAATCTATTAATGAAGAATGAGAATTTTTATATGCTAATGAAATTTTAAAAGAAGAATATCAAAAAACCAAGCTAGACCTTTTAATTCAGCAGCTATCTAGTAAAAAGATACATGTGACAAATCATTTCTTTACAATTATGTGTTATCCCAGAAGGTCTAATAAAGACAAACTTTTATCACCTCATCTTCAAAAAAA